CTTCGGTGCTGTGGCAGCCTTCAGGCAGGCAGAAGTCGCGCTCGGCGTGCAAGGCGTCCTTGGCCTGTTTTGTTTCCCATTTGAAAAAGTCCAACCCTACAAAGGGATCCCTTTTTCTACTGGCTGTAGGTTTCTGGGCAACTCGGGCAGTGCGGGTGGTCTCCAAAGAATCGGAGCTTATTTGTTTTATTGCATCACATGTTGTGTTGGTCACTTGTGCAGTTGAGCTGTGAGCGTGAGGCAGGATGGAGATAGATATGTTTAAGCTGATTTCCAGAGACCCAAGCGCCTGCAACAGCTTTGGGCCGCGAGTCTTTGGTTCATGGACTGTCAGGCTTGGCCATCGGATGCGTACCCGGCGACGAGCGGAGGCATGGAGAGTGTGTGTGTGTCGCGAAAACCACCCAGGCATCATGGAGTTCAAATCATGAGTCGCCATCACATTCCTTCGAGTTCTGCAAATGAAGTGGCTTGAGGAGAGCTGGGGATTGGGCTGGCTGGGGTCGCTGGGTCGGTGCTCTTGCTACCGACTTCTTTTACATTGCAAGAGAACCCAATTGCAGCTTGTTGGGTCCGCTGAGTGTAGATGAATGCCAAGCAGTTCACACAGTGTTTGAATCAACCAGGACAATATATTCTTGTTTTTGTCCGGGCTCGATGGATCCACCTGTTTGTCCAATTGCCAATTGCTTGACGACTGCGCTGCGCAGCCAAATGGTCCACCTAGCAAAGATGTAAACTGCAGCTAAGTAAGGGATGGCCTGGCACCAAGCAAGGGATGGCCTGGCATTCGAATTGCCATAAGACCATAAATGGCTTTGCAAACAGCTCATCTTCCAAACCTCACAAGCTTGAAATCAGCTCAAATTGTTTGTTCCCCTTCAGCGACCTGACATTTGCACCAAACACATAATATGTCAACCAGCGTGAGCAACTCAGTACATTGCGCCAAAGCAGTGCACTGTAACGACTATTTCACGCGTACAAGTGTAAGCGTTTTTTTTCTTCTTCTTCTTTTTTCCTGAAGGCTACCCACTTTCTTCTTGCTGGCCCTGGTTGAACTGTGGTTGGAATCGCTGGTTGGTTGGTTAGTTTGTTAGTTGGTTGGTTGATTGGTTGGTTGGTTGGCCACATCACCAGCATCACCTGCCTCGCTGGGACATAGTGCTGCCCATGGGCTTTTGGCAGAGTTGCTCGCTGCTCCGAGCTTGTGCTGGGGTGGCCAACGCCAGCCCCAACCAGTCTCAGAAGCCCTCCAAACCCAACCCGGAAAGCTGAGGCCAACGGAGTTAGTTTATGGAAGTTCAAGAAAGCCATGGCCCATGGCTATCACATGGCTCAAATCGCCCAAAGGTCGCTCAAGATCTGTCAGGCGCCCCTCTTTCGCTTCGGCGTGGTGGCGGACGTGCAGTAGCTTGGCATGTGTTTCTTTTCCCCTGTGGTCCCTTTCTTTGTCTTTGTTTTGATTCGTGAGCGTAACGTAGGGGTTGTCGTGGGTGTCCTTGGCTTGATTGAACTGAAATCAACATCCTGGTGGTCACTGATAGTGTTTCCGAGGACCCAGGCACATGCATGCAAGCCGGGTTCCTTGGCAGCTTGCAGGGTCATAGTTGAAGGAACATTATCAAAGTAGAGCTGTAAGGAGCCTTATTGCTTTCTGTGTTTTTTTTTGTCAAGGGTGAAGCTGGAGTACAGGTGTGTCGCTTTGACCTGGATAGAGGTTCCTCATTTGCACTCATTCCCAGGTCCCATGCCTAGCATGTTCACGGCATGTGTTGATCAGTTGGCACCACTTAAACTTGCTCAGACCCGGTCCATAGAGAAGGGTATTCATCCCCGGTGCAACATAGTATTTGACCCGCCGTTATGAAGTTGTGAGCAAGCAGATCGCAAATGGTCCCTGCACAAAGAGCTTTGTGCATTTGGCGCGGCCGCAGTGTTCATACATCCTTCCCCCAGTTGCCCATGCAGTGGCGCTCCTTGATTACTTTTTTGGGATGGGTGTTCCTTTATTGCAACTGGGCTTCAGAATGCCATTCCTCTCAAAGTCCACAAACAAGACATGGCCATTAGAGCGAGAGACTGAGGTGATTTGCGTCGTTGGTGCCTTGACTACGTTGCATCAAACAGAAACAAGAGAGTCGAGAGAACACAAGGCCTTAGCTGTTGGCTGAGATTTGATTCCTTGTTGTCTGTTTGCTTGTCTTGCTGAAAGCACGAAGAAGAAACACATATTGTCTCACAATTTGTAGGTGTGCTAGCAAGAGGGGTACCCTCAAACAAAGACACACCACCTCAAGCACATTTAATACCAACCCGGTGAACCATTCCGTCCTGAGGTACTCGGACCGGGAAGACGCTCTCAATTTCACGGGCTCGCGCTTGAGGTGCGGGGCGCGCGAGTGAATCGCTGTCGTGGATTCAATGGGTTGGGTGAATGCCAGGACTTTGTTTGGGGAACTGAAAAGCTCTTTCAGTCTATCTGCAAATCGGAGACTGTCCAATGTGACAGAATCCCGCAGCGATCGTGTGCTTTTTCGAGACAGAGACTCGCCGCTGTTTTTGCACTGGGGCCCTGTGTCTTGACAGGTCTATGACGCCCCAAGAGTTTGTTCTAGATACCCCTTAGTTGGTGATTTGGGTTGATGGTTTAAGGGATTGAATCCCAGCGCCTTTTGAAGCCAAACCAAAAATGTACCCCCTGTGATTCGGGCACGAGCCTGTGCCCTAGCAATTGGGTCAGTTGGGAAAAGAAACCACAAAAGAAAGGGTCCCATGTTAACTAACCCCCAGTCCCAAAGTTCGGGGGTTCCAACGTACAAACAACAAAAAAAGGGGGAAAAAGCTTGCCCGCGGCCTTCGCCGACAATGAGCCGCACGGATGATCCTTACCAGCCCGACAGCAGCCTGCGGTCTCTTTCTCCCCCAAGATCCCGTCGGTCGACGCAAGGGTCCGGCGACGCCCATTCAAGGCCGCGACGCCATCAGACTTGAGCCAAATGCCTCGGTTAGTCGCTATCGCACCGTCCCCGAATGACACTTGTAGCACATGGCACATTCGTCCACATTCGTCCACATTCGTCCACAAACAGCAGCACACAGCCGCCCTCAGCGGTAGAGCAATCTCATTAGGGTTGTCCCATGACATCCCAGGCATTAAATTTCCGCCACCACCACGAATTAGTCGGGGCATGTCGGGGCAACACATTTCAACGCCCAATGAGACAGTCGACATAAGGACGTCAAACCACTACTGTTTGCATCAGAGATGCGAGTTGTTTATTTCTATCAGAAGCCATGTAACCAAAGTATAAAATAAGCACTCCAAAACATTCTCAGCGGCCGAAGATGCTTGTAATCGTGCGTTATACCTAATGCTTCCGCTGCCCTCCAAGATGATGCGTCCTCCGAATTATCGCAATACCAGGACGCGGCAAAGCGCGGTGCGACCACTACCTATTTCAGACCGACATCCTCATAGATAGTTCCATCGCTCATTCACAGTCCTTCTCCATACGACTTGGTCCCATCGTGGACCACCAACCGACACCGACCGGCGGACAGACCGACCCACCGACCGACCAATCCACCCACCCACCCACCCACCAACCAACCAGTCATGGTTTGATGTCCACGCTTTCCATAGTTTGATCCCCGATGTCTCGAGGCGGTACCGCGCCTCGCGGGAGCTGTGGGAAGGAGCCGTCCAGCAGGGGCCTCAGTCGGGTGGGTGGATGTCATTCCCCGATGGCCTAGGCATGCCTGCATTGAAAGTGATTTGACCACAGCATTTCGTACGTTATACCCAGGGGGATGCGACGATTCTGAAGAATTGTAGGTGTTTAGGATTTAGATGAACAAGTGCTCAAGGAAACATGCTGCTGGTGCAGACAACTCATTTTGCAGGTCTTACCTGACCTGGTGCCCCGCTGAATGAAGATTACTTCTTCTTCCTCATAATATCGGGGTGTTTGGGCTTGCGCGCCGTGCCTTGAGGCCAACAGCAAAATCAGCCAACAAGTTGCCCAGTTTCGTGACGGCCGCATCTTTGGTGCATGAGTGTTCCCTAAATCTTCGTTAGCGGGGCAGACGGGCGAGCTAACGGCCAGTTGGACATGGACCACAGACCAGCTGGAGGCCATTTTACGCTTGCAGCGCTTCAGGAACAGAACGGTTTGGCTGTCCAGTGCATCCCTCGGCTTAGCTCACAGAAGTCCCTTGAGCAGCTACCAAACCCGTCTTTCATATTTCTGCAGGATGCTGGATGTTCTTTCGAACTTCAAAACAACCTTGGGATGTTGTTGCACACTTCATCTGCAACTTAGATATTGTTTCAATCGCCAGCTGAACCTTTTTAATGTTCCGTCTTGGGTGGCACGCGGAAGGCTTGTATGAACTGTGGCATGACTGAGATGCATTTGAGCTATCAGCCGAAGCATTTGCGGCGGGGCTGAGAGGCAACAGCAACTGTCTTCTATTTGTTGCCTTCCTGTTTCACACACGGTCAAAGGCAGGTGCGCAGTATAGGATCTACATGCCGCTTAGGATCAGATGGTTGGCCGAAGTGCTCGCAAGGCCGTCTATTTGTAGCATGGCCTTCAGCTCTTTGTCACCTGAATTAGCAGCACGGCCATCCCCTCATCAGCCATTCCCAGGTGGTTTCGAGAAGAAGAGGCTGGGTGCGAGTGGAATTCGCTTGTGTTACCGCTAGCAAATTCCCAAACGTTTGGCACTTCTTTGCAGCAATGACACACCATCCACGCAGGCTCTATGCACATCCGATCTGCGTTGAGTGTGGTCACGTTGTCCATTGAAAAGGGCTCCTTAAATACGTTTTGCCCATTTGAAACATGGCTTTTTCCACCAAAATACGGGGAACCCACCATAGGCAATGTTCAGGTGTATAATGCATCCGGATCCCTGTTGAAGTGCAGCCATCTTGCGAGCTTCGATCCATCCGTTGGCTCGGAGCAGCGACAACTCGCGATATCTCAGCTTTGATGGAGGCACCTACTGATCAGCGCCTTGGATGCCCTATTCTTGGTGGATAGGCTTTTCTTGCCAGTTCACCAGCCCAATGCATATTATACTAGTAGAGGCAGGTGGCAGAACCGGTTGTCGGAATTGTTCAAAACATAAGAATGATATAGTTGTGTTTCCCTTTCTCCTGATTTGTTTTCTCTTCTCTCTGTCTTTGCCTCTGTCAGGCCTCTGTCTCTCTATCTCTATATGTTCCCTGTTGTTGTTTTCCTTCTCTTCTTGTTCTTCTCTTCTTTCCCTTTATCGTTTCCCTACTTCTTTAGCTTTCTCTTTATTTGATATATATGGTTCTTTCCTTTTCTCTTTCACTGTCTCTTCTTTCTCTTTATCATGATATCCGCTTGTTCTTTCTCTTTATCTGTCTCTTTATCTTTCTCCTCGTGTACTTTCCTTATTGCCTGTCAGTCGAGAAAATGCTTCCCAACGATCATATTCATATGTGTGTGTGTGTGTCTCTTTATGCCGTTATTTTAGTTAGTTGTTTGTTTATCTATCTAGCTAGCTAGCTTATTTGATCTAATGCAACCTGATCTAATCTACGTTAATGAATTATATCTAGCTATGCATGAAACAATCTACGTATCTACTCTGTCTATCTATCTATCTATCCATCTATCTATCTATCTATCTATCTATCTAATCTATCTATCTATCTATCTATCTATCTATCTATCTATCTATCTATCTATTTATCAGTGCAACTGATCTTCCGATATCTTTGTCTCTCTATCTATCGATCGATGTATCGATCGATCTATTGATCTACTAGTCAATATATCCGAATCGTTCTATATGGTGATCCGTCTACATTTACAGCTGACAATCTATGTATTTGTTTGTCTATATATCCCTAAAGATGTCTCAGTATTAGAGCTATACTATGTTCATGTGTATATATTATATACCTCTATATGTATCAACTTATTTGTCTATAGAACCTATCCAATGTCTATCTGTGCATCTAATCTACTCTAATCTAATCCAATCGACTCTATCTATCTGTCTATTATATCTAATTTGTCTAATGAATGAATGAATGAATGAATGAATGAATGAATGAATGAATGAATGAATGAATCAATCAATCAATCAATCAATCAATCAATCAATCAATGTATCTATCGACGGATCCATCCAACTATCTACCTATCTATCCATCCATATATCTATCTATCTATTTATCTTTCTATCTATCTATCCATCCATCCATATATCTATCTAATCTATCTAACCTATCTATCTATCTATCTATCTATCTATCTATCTATCTATCTATCTATCAATCTGTTTTGTTTGTCTATCTATGTATCTATCTATCTATCTATCTATCTATCTATCTATCTATCTATCTATCTATCTATCTATCTATCTATCTAATCTATCTATCTATCTATCTATCTATCTATCTATCTATCTATCTATCTATCTATCTATCTATCTATCTATCTATCTATCTATCTATCTATCTATCTATCTATCTATCTATCTATCTATCTATCTATCTATCTATCTATCCTATCTGGGACTGGGACCACCTGACCGGTCCTGGGACCGTCTGAGAGGTCCTAGGTCAGGACTGGTATTGGGATGGTCCTGGGACCAGTCCCGAACCATCCCCGGACCGGTCCTGGGACCGTCACTTTTCGTGCATTCGGGTCTGTCTCCAGGTACCAAAAATTCATCATGGATTCCCATCACTTCATTCCAGTTGCATCCCACGCCGGTCCCAGGAGGCTAGGATGGGAGGCAAGGGTCGGCGGATTTATCTAGCTACCTACATATCTATCTATCTATCTACAATGTGATCTAATCTACTCTTTCTATCTAATCCATCTGTCTGTCTGTCTGCCTGCCTGCCTGCCTGTCTGTCTGTCTGCCTGCCTGCCTGCCTGTCTGTCTGTCTGTCTGTCTGTCTGTCTGTCTGTGTCTCTGTCTCTCTGTCTCTCTCTGCCTCTCTGGCCGTCTTTCTCTCTGTCTCTGTGTCTGTCTGTCTCTCTGTCTCTGTGTCTGTCTGTCTCTCTGTCTTTCTGGCCGTCTTTCTGACTCTCTGGCGGTCTTTCTGGTCCGTCCGTCCGTCCGTCCGTCTGTCTGTCTGTCTGTCTGTCTGTCTGTCGATCTATCGCTCGATATCTGTCATCTATCTTTCTATCTATCTATCTATCTATCTATCTATCTATCTATCTATCTATCTATCTATATCTCCGGCAATCTAACGATCCATTTCTCAATCTAGCGATCCATTCATTTATTTTGCTATCTATCTCTCAACATATCTATCTATCAGTGTTCCGAGAGAGTGCATGCCACAAAGTCTGCAAAAGTGCTGCGCACGTTATCTGTACCTCCGGCTGAAGTGCTGCGCCTGTCACACAAACTCATGTCGCGAACAGTGCGCGCGCGTCCGTGCTAATGGACCCGGCGCCGCACCCGTTGCGACCCTGTTCCAAACCAGGTCCGAACATGTGCCGAACATGTGCCGAACTGGCGAACAACAGGCTTCGCGCCAGAGCGTGCTTACTTAGTGCCGCACCTGTCACGCAATCCGACCACTCGTTTTTTTGGTTATGTTGTGGCTTCTTTTCTCCTTCCGCTCTCATCTACATTTTTACGACAGCCTTTTCTTCGCCTCTTTCAGGTATCATTTGCTTAGCGTTAAGCTTTCTTTGATGACATAGCGTACAAGCCATGAATCAACCTTGCTCTTGCACTTAAGTCCAAGCTCTGTTGAGGGCCAACGCTGGCTGGAGAAGCGATCTTGACACTACGTAAGCCAAAGACAACGAAGCTGGCGCACGTTTTGAGAGAAGTGTTGAACGTCTGAGATAAGGACTTGTTCCAGCCTCGGTTTTGCGCAGGAACACGTTACTCGTAAACAAGCACCTCCCCTTCAAGAAAGAGATTATGTCCTCATTTGCCAAGACTGACGTTTTCTTCTGCGCCAGCCCCGTGCCCCAAGGAGTGTGGAATTGACGGCGAAAGCAGTGACTGATGTTTCGGTTGGCGCCGCGGCCGCTGGGCAAGCAGTTGTGTGGGCAAGGGCAAGGTGCTCTCGGTCTCTGGGGAACATGAAACGCCTTCTCGGCCGATCCGAGCGACCCGCGTAGGCTCTGCAGTTTGGATGTGATCAACTTGTCATTGCACAGTTTGCGCACCAATTTTGCAACAGTCACTACACCCCTTCCTGGGGAACTTCTTCGCTTGCCCTTGGCTTTGATCTGAGTTATCAAGGAGAGCTTTGTCAATCGAGTGATTGCATTGCTTCGAATAGGGGGCTTTTGCAGGGAGGCCTATTTCGAAGTTTCGGGCCAGGACAAACCCTGACTTCCTGGTTGTTGGGGGTTTGCCTGAAAAGGCCGGTCACATTTTCTTTGGAGCTGCAGGTAGTGGCCGTGGCAAACCAGGTGGCCGCATCCGTGGATCCGAAGGCCGCGCAGGTGGCCACTGGAGGCAGTCAGACGGTCACGAACCAGCCATGGGATGCCCACTTGGAGGACTGAACCGAGGCTGCGATGTACAGTGGATTCGCCCCGCTTTCACCGTGCGGGTTGAAATTTGGAGCACAGGTTTGCAGGCAAAGGAGGACAGGATTCATCAGAGGCGGGCCAGTTTTTTCAGGACGGTTTTTTAGATGTTGTTTTTCGTCGGGATTTGTTGCTTTGTGGCTTTTGTGTCTTTTGGCAAGTTTGCGCGGCTTTGGGTTTTGCGGTTTTGGCTTTCCGCATCCTCGGTATCACCAGTAACATGCCCAGAGTCACCAGATTTGGCTGTTTGGCTTTTTTCGTGATGACCTTAAAGGGCAAACTCAGACACTGAACGAACCCTAAAGAATCCAAAAGCCCCCCAACCTAAAACAACCCAAAACCAACACTAAAACAACCTAATACCCGCCAACCACAAGGAAACCCTAAAGAAACCTGAAACCCGCCCAAATTGACGACCCTAAACAAAGCCACTCTAACTCTAAACCAGTAATAAACTGTCCCAAAACCTACTCTAAACCCACCCAAAACCAGCCCTCACCCCACCCTGACGCACAAAGCAAGCACCTAGTCCAAAAGTAAACAAGCCCTAAGCAAACCATATACCCCCCCACCAAACCCACCCGAAAGTAACCCCGAACCAATCCTAAACCCACGCAAAAACGGCACTAAACCCACACTAAACCCACCCTAAACCAACTCTAAACCCACCCCAAACCACGCCCAAGCAAACCCTGTACCAACTGGTCTCCCCTCCCTCAAACACTGCAAATCAGCACTAAACCATCCCGAAGCCACAGCTTGGTGGCAGGGTATTTTTGGGTTCGCGAGGATCCCAGCATCCAGACCGGCTATACCTTCGTTCCGGAGATGACCTGGGAGGAGCGCAGGTCTGCCCTGCAGCTAAACGGCCCACACGTGACGGACTTCATCCAGCGGGTGGAGTTCATAAGTCTCGGCAACTGAGACTCAAAGTTCAAGGAGGTCTAAATAGGGGTGCCCAAAAAATGTTTAAACCAAACAAAAAAGGAGTATCCTCAAGGAAACACGCACGCACGCACGCACACGCACGCATGCGCGCACGCACGCGCGCACGCACGCGCGCACGAGCACGCACGCGCACACGCGCACAAGGGCACACGCGCACCCACACCCACACACCCACACACCCACACACCCACACACCCACACACCCACACACCCACACACCCACACACCCACACACCCACACACCCACACACCCACACACCCACACACCCACACACCCACACACCCACACACCCACACACCCACACACCCACACACCCACACACCCACACACCCACACACACACCACACACACACACACACACACACACGTGTGAATATGATTCTTGAAAGTAGGCAGACGTGAGCAGGGTTGGCGCTGTGGGTCCCCCCTTTGCTTTTAACGCTACCAAAGGAGCAAGAGACAGACCAAGCAGGCATAGAAAATGGGGGACGAGTCCCAATGCTCCCTGACTGGCCACAACACAAAGGTGGAACTGCCCAAGCTGTGTTGGTTTAAGAAGGCCCAGATTGGGCCCACATGGGTTGGGCCAAACCACCTGCCTATTAGGTGAGTGAATGCGAGTTTGCCTCCACACGTGGCTCGCTGGTTTTCAATGCCCCCAGCCCGAAAATTCGGGATTGACCACAAACGGGCAAACTCCCCACGAAATGGTTGTTTGTTTGATATTTTTTGACTTGTGTTCCGCGGCCACCACACGGGAGCATTCTACTTTGTTGCCTCTTGTTTGGGCTGGCTCTTTCTCGTAGTCGTTTGGGCCGTGAATGACCGACAAAAGCACAACTGTTGGGAATTGACCGGGAGCTGACCTAGCCTTGACTTAGGGGCACATGGGAGGCTTCTCTCTAGCCTCCGGGGGGACTAATTCTTTGTGTTCAGTTTGGGGCAACCCATAATTACTGCTATGTGTGACAAGTATCAGGCTCATATTATCCGTCGAGCTTGGAGTTGTTTCATTGGAATGCCAATGCATTGCCAGACTTAGATGCCTTCTTGGGTTGCCTTCATTCCCTTTCAACCTGGTTAACATATGATGTTGGCATGTAGAGTTCTAAAAGGGCCTTTATGCGACTTCTTCAATTCAATTAATGGTGGAAGGCGACAAAGCGAAACAACCATGATCATTGAGTCCCAGATCTGCGAATGATTGTTTTGTTTTGTTGTTTATTATTATTTTATCGGGCACCTCCAAAGTTCCATCTGAATGATATCCGCCAAAGGGTCCCCCCTCTTAAGATGTTTCACCCATTTGAGGCTGCTATTGCTCTCCTTCCTATGCGCTGCAGCTTCTGAACCTCCGGAAGAACTCCTACCCTTTCGACTGGACCCGGAGCTCGTTGGAGGGAATCCTCCATTGCCTGGACATGCGCTTTGAGGACATGTGCACAGAAAGCAAAGGGTGCAGCACAAAAGTCCGCACCTAACTCTTCAAGGGCACAGGGAGAAAGCAGCCCGGCTGAAACTCGATGGACGGGACTCCCATTGACAGCCTACAATCAGATGAACATTGTTCGGTGGGATTTCCAGATAGAGATGCTTCAAGCGTATCTCTGGGACCATAGCCTGTCCCCTAAAGCATGGGCAAGATGTCCTCAAGGTGGTGTTTAGGGTTCATCGCTCCGTTTCAAGGAAGACTGGCTGTGAGGCCACGCAGCACCGCGCAAAGTAGCAGCCGTGAGTCTGTTGCCCATCGAGATGCGCGATCCACGCCAAACGGGTAGCATTTCCAGGTTCCTTTGCACGTCGACATGCCGAATCCGGAGAGGGCCGCAGATTCGCAGACAGTGGTTGGTTCTGCCGCGCCTCCTTAAACGACAGAACTTCAATCAAGTCGCACAGTTTTCCGGGCAATCTCTTTGTGACATCTCTGCGCTCTCTGTGGCATTTGTTGTTGCAATATCTCAGTGACACCTGTGGGTGACATCTCTCTTGACAATCTTATCTCGGCATCTCCTGGTTTTATGAATCTCTCACGCAACGATATATTGATAAGGCATCTTTGCGCAATCTCTCGGGCAAGCTCTAGGTGACATCTCCCTGTGAATTCTCTCTCAGAGGATCTTTGGCCGACCTGCGTTTGACTCTCTGTTGGTGACATCTCTAAGTGCAATCTCTTTGGTGATCTCTTGGCGGTTTCTCTCTGTGCAATGTCTCAGACGATCTTTGGGTGACATCCCTTGCAATCTCGCAGACGATCTCTTGCTGACATCTCTTTGTGCAATTTGATGGCGACCTCTAGGCGGTTTCTGTGTGCGTGACATCCCTCTGTGTAATGTCGCAGACGATCTCTTGCTGACATCTCTTTGTGCAATCTCTTAGGCGTTTTTACTGGAAGAACCATTTGCTATGCTCCAACAGACGCCTGCAGTTTTCGGGGCAAGGACACGCCTCACAGTTTTTTTTCTATACAACGCGATGTCAGTTTTTTCACTCAGTCGCTGTGTTCTGCAGATTTTTTTATCGAGGACTTTTTGACTTACTCGACCTACCAGATGGTTGACCAGCACGTGGTCTTCGGAGGTACTCGCTGGGGGGGATCCTTTTGGCACCACAACTTGGAGGCGCCAATGACGGTCCAGGATATGACCAGGCCGCTCGGACAGGGGGGTCAGATGGGATAATCTGTGGGGAAAAAGTGGCGGGGGTAACCTGCAGCACCGTATGGCCAGTAGAGCATTTTTTGATTTGGTCCTTGGACCTTTGAGGTGTGGCTCTGCCCGGCATGTCGATATTTTCAACAGTTGAATGTTGAGTCCTCCCCCCCATGTCATTCAACAACGAATCCACCAGGAAGCCGGCAAGGCAGGCATGTTCACTCATAGGTTCACTTGTTCAATGGGGGGCTGATGGTATAGAAGCCCTTTTGGGCCAAGTGTGAAGATGCGACTCCAAAGTTCACCTACACAAAGGTTGACTACGGCACAGGAACGAAAGGAAGATTAGCAAGCGTCCTGTTGACTTGCTCCACAAGAGTTGCATTGCCGGCCTTGGCTTTTTGCGCGCGTGCATGTAGGAGTAGTCTACAAGGTCCCTTGCACGGAGATATGAAGGGGAAGGCCTTTCGGCCTTGTGTATCTTGGCGAGGATGTTGTGAACCCTAGCCCCGGGAAAGCTTTGTGTTGGATGTCGAAAGCTGACTGTCCAAGTATTTTCCACCCTGCAAAGACCGCAGCACAGCTTGGATTAGAAGTAGGCTGTGTTAAGCAAAAACAATTGCTTCGTGCAAACACTTAGAAAGCTAGCAGCCAACGCCCCCGAGCCCAAAACCCAGTGCCAATTCCCAGACACACAACAGCAGCCTGAAGCACAAAGAACACAGCCCGATAAAAGAACAAAACTCGACTACTTAGAGAAAACTTGGCTTGCTTCAAGCTAAACCCGCGTAGAGCCCATGAAGCCTGGAGATATCACCCTGAGAGCAAGCCCCAGCGCAGCCCGCAGACACGGACAGTATTCTCCCAGTGCGTGCAGTGCGTGCAAATCCCCCAGACACATAATGGCCTGAGGCAAACGTAAAGCAAAGCAGCCCAGTTGAAATAGAGCTATGCTGTATGGGGGAAAAAAGAACGCTGAGTTTCTTCCTTCCAAACCGCAAAGCCCATGAAGCAGCCCCCAAGCACATTGGCACAAGGCGGAATCGAGCCATAGGCCTCCTGCACACGCCACAAAATCGAATCGTCGAACTTTGACACCTCACTGATGGCTAAAAAGCACACTCGCGCTACAAGAAGGAACAAGCTCAAAGATACGCTCCAAACTCAACAACTCCAAACAATAGCTTGTTCTCCTCAGCGACGGGACAAGGCGCGGCGCGCACATACACAAAACACAACACAACACGGCACAACACAACACACAGCACACACAAGCCACAACCACAACCCATATCCACAACCACAACCACACACACAAAACACACACAACACACACACACACACATGGAATGCCACGTTGGCAGTCAAACAAAGAACACACACACCACCCATCGCGCTTGTCTGAAATGTCTTGCTTCCAAAATCGCATCTTGACGAATCCGCCGAGGCCCTTGTGGCCTGAGGCGATTAGAGCACAGGAGCGGAGCAACCGAGAGGTAAGTACAACCAGTATAACTCTACCGTGTTTCGGTGTGTTTGTGTCGTGCGGGGACAAACCCGGAGTCTCCACATCAGTGCTGCTCACAGATGATCTCGCTTGGTGACACAAAGGGTCCTTTTGGGATTCCTAATTTAAGATTGTAGTTTCTATTGTGCTGACATTGTGAATGACGACGGTTTGGCAGCTTGCTGATGATGGCTCGTGCTCATCACTGGGTCCGCAGGCGAATTCATCGCTTCCTCGGCACGGGCGACGTATCCCCGAAAGTGCCGCGGGTGTTCATCCGGATCATCAACTCCACCCGAGAGATTGGCTGCTGGCTTGAACAGGAAAAGGGCTAGTTGTATTGGTTCTAGGCCAGCTGTTCTGTGTGAAGGATTGTTTGACAGGACGTTTTTCTTGGTTTAATCGGCCAGTTTGTTGTGTGCACTGTTCTGCTTTTGGGGGGGGGGCGGGGGGCACATTTGTTTTGCAGCCAAAGTATTTCAAAGCAGTCTCTGAGAGTGTTCGGGGGAGATTCAAACAGACTCACTTGAGTTGACAACCATCATCCTGACCATGATGAAGTTGTAGGTGCTGCTTTCGAGGAAGGTGACGCGGCCCAAATGCATAGCAATGAATGGCCCTGCCAATCTAATTGCGCCAGTAGTCTAGTGGCAGGATACTTCCCTGTTATGGAGGAGACCCGGGCTCGATTCTCGGCTGGCGTATTTTTGCTGAGATCAAAGCGAAATCGATGGTTCAAAATGTGGAGGGAAGGAGTTCTCTTTCCCAGCGGTGCAAAGAGTGTCACAGTGTAGATTGCAGCAGGCCTTGGAGGGTGTTTAAGCGCGGACAAGGCAGAGAAATTGGCTGGGCCATCCATCAACCAAAGCCGTCACTCAGCCGCGCCCTCCAGTGGATGACGAAAGCGGGTGCAAGATGTTGTGTTTGTCCAGGATAGATGTGACCACCGTCCTTATGAAACAAATTCGTGACTTGCGTGGTTTGGGGCCCAGAGCTTTAGGATTCTCGTGGCCATTGCCTACAAAGTTGGGTTCAGACCCACCTTCAAAGAACCTCTAGACCTAAACCACCGGCCCCACTCCCACGAGGGGCGGGTGAGACGGTTGGATGTTCTGAAGTCGGCACCAACCACGACGAGAACCCTGAAGGTGCAAGCTGTCCCTTTGGCAATTCCAGTATTTCCAAGCGGGTGCAAAGCAAGTTTCAATTCAAGTAGAGATTTTTGGGGAGCGGATGCCCATGTGTATGCCACACCCGTTTTGGTTCAACGCACCTTGGGTGCTTGCCTAGGTCCCCCAGTAGTGCCAACTTTTACCAACTTTTGGGAGGGTCCCCCTACTAAAATAGACAAGAAACAAGTTGGTACCAGCTTATTCTAAGCTCTCGTAGAGATCTCTACTGGAGGACCTAGTTGCAGATGTTCGGCTTTCTGAGGCCAAGCCATTAGGCTGCGGCAGGCGCTGAAGAGTTCTTTCCCAGAGGCCCAGGCGCGGGCAGAATTCTTTTCATAGGCGTGGCCACCTCAACCTTCATGTGCTTGGTTTGTTGGGGGTCGGGGCTGGGGGCTGGGGGGTTCAACCATTTGAATGCAACATGGCGAGAACGTAACTGAGACGGTATGGTTCCATGTGTGGTTGTACTTTACTACGCACACAATAGAAGCTGGTCTTTGGCGTGTTGTTTCGTGGATCTATCATATGTTATGTTTGAGACAGCCCAATTCATGTTCTGAGTATTGTTGCATTCGGCAACATGAAGGAACAGGTTACTCCTTGACATCCTGGAAATCGGCTCTCTATTCCTACTGCTTGTGGGGGCGCCTTTAGTATGACTTCCAATGTCAAGCAGAACACGTGCCATTCCGAGCAGATGCTTTTGAACGTTTTACGATGTCTGAATAGCTCCCCTTGGTCGTCTGTGATTTGCGGCGGGATCACACTGTTTGAATGGTAGATCTGCTGGTTTGGCTTGGTAAATTTGGAGCGAGCGTTTGACATCAAGCGTCAGTGTTTGTTTGTTGTTGGGTCTGGGTTGAGAGAGAGGCACCGAGATTGCTTCTGTGAATCTGAGATTGAGTGCCCTGGAGTTACATACATGACCATAGTAATGGACAACGAGCACAGACTGGCTAGGCTATCTCCATAGATGACGACCACTATTTGTTTGCTTGGATGATACGAGTCAATCCTTCAATTCAGCATTCCTGCAAGCCCTTCATTCATTTGGCTGGCAAAACAAACACCACACACGCACAAGGCACTCAGGCCTCAAAAGGCACTCAGGCCTCAAAATCGCAGCTAGAAGTCACTGACCAGGAGATCTACATGCTCCTGCTGATTGAACTTCAAATGGAGCGCGGCCCAATAGCCGTGACGCCAGCCTGCACATACGAGGATTCATGTCAATTTGGACCATGTGTTTGCTCACGTCTGGATGACATACCGGCAAGCATGGTGTCCAAAGACTGGCAACGCCTTTGACAATGTAAACATTCAAAGAGCCGTGAAGGGCATGTGACGCAGAGACATTCTGGCAGACATGTTGATGTACCGCACTGGCAATGTCAGAAGACCTGTGAGAAAGATGCTTTCAAACATTCATGTCCACGTCGTCAGCGGTCCGAAATTTCCAACACCATCCGGAGATACAGAGCCTGACAGCATCCAAGGCCACGGGTAGATCAGAGGAGTTGTTACTTGAGAGGCCAACTTGCCAAAGACTGGCTTAGCTTCTGCATCTTGATGACTCCCTGAGGGCCGCAGGTCAAACTCGGCGCGCTCGCCGAGAGGTGAAACCAAGAAGCATTCTTCATTTGAGGATCTGTTCTTTGGGGTGTTGGTGACCAACTGCAAGCTGCCTGCATAGCCTTGACCGGCTGGTGATTTGTTCTGCGAGCTTTCATGTGGAAATAGCGCAAGAGACCCAGAGATCGGGTCAGCATGTGTTTGAACGGTTTAAGGCGTGTGAAGCATGCACCCCGCAAAGAAGATGTAGTACCCCTCAGAGGTCATTACATGTATCTCACGCCGGCCCGCTTTGTAGTGTTGGGCCCTCTTAACTGTTCTCCCTCGCCCTCCCCCTCGACAGTAGAACCAATCAGCTAGGCAAAATCCTGGGGGTCTGGGTGGGACAGTGCTTACTTGAGTATTGTCGATTCTACTTTAGCATTTCCATTGCTGACTCTCAGATTCCCAGTACTTACTTTAGTATTGGCAATTCTACTTTCGTATTGCCAAGGCTGACTCTCAGATTCCCGGTACTTACTTTACTATTGTTGAATCTACTTTAGTATTGCCAAGGCTAAGTCTCAGATTCCCAATTGCCAAGACTAAATTTAGTATTCTGGGAAGAGCCCGTCTTTTCAGCCGCAAAAAAAACAGTTGGACTCTAAAGAGGACCCCAAATCAGTCGCGTCAAGAAGGATCAGGGCCTCTTGTGGGCAACCCCCTTTGTGTGCCTGTTTGCCCGTACTTTTTTTAAAGAAGATATCTTAAATATGATGGTTTGGGGACCACTTCAAGAAAAGGATTTCCTAATGTTTGCCCGGATTTGTTTGCCCGTTTTTTGCTCGACTTGTTTGCCCAAGTTTTTTTGCCCACATTGTTTCCCAGCATTTCTTCCAGCAAAACATGCCACAATAGAGAACCCCAAAACAGTCACAGAATCCTGAATTGCGAAAACAATGCTACAATAGAGGGCCTAATTCCAATTGGGCCCTAAGTCGCCCTGTGGATCTCGCCCTGTGTCTAGGAAATTATTTTGCTAAGATCCCGCGTGCAAATTCAATAGCGCAGTGAGCTTAGCTCTGGCTGAAGTCGAATCATACATCTCCGTTGGCACTGGCCCAGTACATGTTTTGCCAGTGAGCTTATCATTCTGAGGATGATCCACATTGTACTTCCTCTACTCCGAGTAAAGGGACCAAAACCGTGGATCATTTTCCGTGGCAGTCTTTAAGGATAGGCGTTGCCCGCTTCTTTGCATACAAAACACCAACATCAGTTTGCTCAACCCCTTTGTGCGCCAAGGACAGCTCCGGAAGGCCAGGGATATTCATTCGCCCAGCCCAAGGACCCTCTCTCTTGAAATGGGTATGTGAAAGGAGCCCCTACCGGAAGCGATCGCTAGTCTCAAGTTGTTTCTATGAACAGTCTGTCAGCTTGGCCCTACGGACTGCCAAAATACTTGCCTACTCGAGGTTGATCAGGATGTAGCCGCATGAACTATGAAGCCTCGTATAGCCTCGTTTGTGTTTCGATTTAGGATTCTTTGGGAAGCACCCGATTGAGTTTCTTTGCGTGTGTGTGTGTGTGGGTGTGTGTGTGTGTGTGTGTTTGCGTTTGTGTGTCTTGTTGTCCATTGTTATTGGTCTTTGTGTTGCCGCACTTGACATCCCATGGCCATACAATTAACCCTTCCACTCCAGCCTACCTAGCATTTGCTGGTGACTCTGTCAAGAACAGGTTGCGTGACATGTTTGTTTGCAACCGACATGGCTTCAGCTTGAGTCAACGTAGCGGGGAGATGCTTTGTTTGCCATGCGTGCTGCTGCAACGTGTACACCTGACCTTACCTCACCTTGGCACCCGTTGCTGTCTTTGTCACCTCGGCCAGGCCAGGGTCTCTTCTTCTTTAGCAGCCTGCCTGGCATTGGGGCGGGGTTCAGGGTGGGCTTGGCTTTTTCACCAGGAGGAAAAACTTGCAATTGGGCCACGATTGCTTCTGATGTACTGAAAGGATTCTGACCTTAGTGATGACCGATACCAGTGTCCGTGGTCCCTATTGATAAATATGTACATATATAGAGATGTACACATGCATGACACACCAGTATGAACTGAAGCTATCATTGCCAATCGTGAAGCCCGTTGATTCATGGTCCGCACTCAGGGGCCAGGATTGATTCCATCTAGAAGGCGGCAGACGTCCACAGTATCAAGGATTGCATAGGCGTTGTTGTGTGAGTCATCCCTAGTAGACGCTGGCAATTGTAAGCTCCTGGCATTTTTCTTGGCGGAAATCCTTGTGGATCCGTGGAGGCTCGGCTATTGCAGGGCTGCCGTGTGGACAAGACAATCACAGAAGGGACAGTGTTGCAAAGGGGTCGCCGACGCAGCCAGTGCCGAGTCCCCTTCATGGTTGCCAACCACTTGCATACCGTGTTTTTGGTGGCTTCAGAAGCGTAAGCTCAGCACTTCATCCACTTCCTTGGAACGAACGCACAAACACAGTGCGCTGAAGTTTGAATAGGCAGCCGAGCTGCAGCTTTTCTCAGTGTGGTGGCATGGGCAAGGCGTGGACTTGGCGTAGGCAAGGCGTAAACTTGGCTTAGGCACGCAGTATAAAGCCCCGCAGAACCGAGGGAAGCAGTGCTCACAGGTTTCTGCGTTGCCTATCATATTTCACAGGTTGTTGACAGCACCCCCCAACAACTGTTTTTTGTTTTCCCCATGTGCAAACTCCCAAGTACGTTCAAAAAGCCGTGTGGATGCTCAGACAGGTTGTTGCAACCTGTTTTGGGTATTGTTTTTTTGTTGTTTGTAGGGCTCGCTGCAAAACAGCCAAGTGTCGATGCCCCCCCCCCCAGCCGACTAGTTCGGAACCCTGCATGCCAGAAATGGCCACAAGTTCGACAACCTAAGGCACTTCTCGTTGAGTCGAGAAATCACAGCCAGGAAGATCAAAAGAAGACTCTGCTGAAAAAGTGGAACTCCACTTGCAGTGTGTGAGCTTACCATCGAATTCGAAGCAGTCTCTTTCATTCAAGCCCAAGTGGAACCAGACTATATCTCAATGCTTGGAAGCAACGAATAAGATAAGCTTTTGACCCATGCTTGGGGCTGAGTCCCCCATGTGGCTCCCCTTTGACTCGTTGCCCCAGGCTTTACCGAGGAGGAGTTTCGGCAGGTGCCCGCGCCCGGCCGGCATCCTCTTTCGCTCAGCGGCGCCCGGTGTGCCGAAGCCATCGCCCCGCGGCGTGGAGCCGTCGGAACCGGCGTCGGTTCTCGATCGGGGGCCGGAGGTGGGGTTTGGTCAAACTCGGGGAGTTGGAGGCCCCAAAACGGCGGCGGTTCGGGTTTGCTTGAAATCCGCCTTGGACAAATCACACCCTGAAATGACCTATCCAAAGAAGACTCTCAAAATCAAGAGCGGCTGAGATGCTTCGAGTTGACGGCTCATCTTGTTTGAGAAAAAAATGATGTAGACAATTGAGTTATTCGGACAACTATTCGGGCTGGATGTGGGGGAGGTTCCGTGTGAGCCATGAGCAATGCGAGAACTCATCGCCATAGATGACTTCCCTTCGAGTTCCTTTCGGAAATCGGTTACCAGGTTTTTGTTGCAGGTACTACAGTAAAATAAACATAGATACCCAGCAAGACATACCAAGATACCTTACAGGATAAACAGGTAAGGCAACTTGTCTTGGGGTTTGTGAGCTGCTTTCACGATTTTGGTGTTTTGGTTGCTTTTATGTATCCACGCATGAGGTTATCCGTGCTACAACTTCAAATGATGCATTTGGGCTGAGGAGGAGTTGTTGCATTGCACAATTCATCCCGCTGTCCCAGAGCCAATCGAAAGCCCATCGCTCGAACAGGTGCATGTACCGAGCAGTTGCACTGCCGGGGCATGGAGTTTTGACTTCTGCTTTGCATTTCAGGTTGAGGCAAACTGCAGTGCTGGTTTGGCTCATAGGCACAGCGTGGTGGCGTTGTCAAACTTGTCATTGTCAATATTGTTTAGATAGCCTCATGGGTGCTTGGTTGACTTATGGTGGGCAAGTCTTGCCGGAATTCCTGTGGACTGATGCTGTCCTTTGTTGTTTCGCAGTGCAAGTGGTGCTTGTCTCCTGTTATGTTTTAATGGCAATGGCATCCGAAGCGAGCCAGTCATCAGTGTCACAGGTTCAAGATCGTGGACCTGGATGCGGATTTTTTTTTCACGCGAGTTCTGTTCATAACTTCCAAAGGGCTCGGGGCAGATTTCTCCAAAGCCGATTTCCCCAAGGCCGCGGGCCTGAAATGGTGGGCCGGCGAGGGCATGGACTTGAATGTGCGCACCTGCGACGCCTGGAGAAGGGGAGAAGGGGTGAGGGAACCTGGCTATAGGTCAGTAGGATTTTGTGGGGACCCGTTGGTTTCACGAAGCCTTTGCAGACGAACTATGCGACATCCTCAGCTTTCAAAAAGCAAGAACACCCAACAGAAGTTGAGCCACTCAGGTCCAGTTTCCCAGAGGAAGGCATGTCCGAATTGGATTGGGTGTGGCCATGAATTGGTTTCAGGGTCCAGCTCAGAGCTCTGCCCACTCACGTGCTGATGGCCAGCTGCCGGACTGGCGTTTCCCTGAATATTGCGTGTGCGATGCGGTATGCCAACAACAAGCAGGTACTTGATTGAGTTTATTTTTCGATAACTGCTCAGCGTCATGCTCAACAAAAGTGAAACCTGTTGCAACACCAAACGGATTCCGATAGGAAGTTTGTCTCCAGTAGTAGCGGAAATCGACGGAACATGAAGTGAAATCCGCGGAAGACGTGAGGAACTGGCTGCAACATGAGGGGTGACCAGGGCTAGATTTTCATTGCTAGCTAGTCTGACATGGTCATTTCTTGTTGTTTCATCCGGAACATTGCCCAACATGTCAATGTACCCAAGGAGGTGTCGGTTATTTTTCAACATTAATTATGCCAGATGGTATTGGTTTCCCTTTTTGAGTAGGTTTGCGCTGCTGATTACGGGATTCCCCCCAGTTGAGAAGTCAAGTATATTCCTGAATTTACTGGCCCCTGGCAATCTGGTGGATGCGATGAAATGAGCTTGGTGAGACTTTCAGATTGCATGTTCCACCTGAATGGCACACAACTAAGGACTCGCTGGCACAGATGCTCGGCAGCATTTCATGGTGACTTAATGACAGTGCATGACAGGCATGTGGTCCACCTACGCATTTGTGGTGCTCATGATGTCATAAAGAATACGTTGCAGACATATTGGCCCTTGTTCAATTCGTCAAAACATGATGGAAGGCTTGTCCCTTTCATATCCCCGCACTATGGATACAAATATGCTTTGTTCGAAACCTTAATGGGGGATGCACCTTTATTTGTATGTTCATATCTAGTGACATTGCGCAACAGTGAGCTTCAATGAGACAGACGCCCAGGTTGAACGACGCTGTCTTGGACAACACATGTCCCTTCTCCTTTTGTTCACCCAGGGTTTCAAAACATCACAGCTTCTTTGCGCTGTCACCGTCTCAAGTCGCGCGTTGGATATATATATATATATACATATAGTAATAATAATAATACTAATAATAATAATAATAATGATGTTGATGATGATGATGTTGATGATGATGATGATTGTGATGATGATAATAAGAATAATAATAATAATAATAATAATAATAATAATAATAATAATAATAATAATAATAATAATAATAATAATAATAATAATAATAATAATAATAATAATAATAATAATAATAATAATAATAATAATAATAATAATAATAATAATAATAATAATAATAATAATAATAATAATAATAATAATAATAGTAATAATACTAATAAGAATAATAATAATAATAACAATAACAGTAACAATAATAATAATAATAATAATAATAATAATAATAATAATAATAACAACAATAACAATAACAATAACAATAACAATAACAACAACAATATCAGTAACAATAACAATAGCAATAATAATAATAATAATAGTAATGATAATAATAATTTTAACGCCTCCGGCTCAGGCCGCCGACATTACAGGCCTTCTTTCTTATATGCGTCCCTTTGGAATTGTCCCCTTGCCCCCCTTCCCCTCTAAGATTTTTGCACCCCTTTCCCTGTTGAGATCCATTCCCCCTTTCCCCCCTAAGGCCCTTTCTCCCTCTCAGATTTTTCCCTTTTGCTCCCTAAGATGTTTTCCACCCTCTCCCTTGAGATCCTTTCCCCCCTTTCCCCCCAGAAGCCTTCTCACAGGCTTCGTAGAAGGCTTCGGACACTTCTGAGAAGCGGCTTTGCCCTCGCAGAAGCATGTCCAAAGGGTGCTGCCACTACAAAGCTTCTAAGAAGCAACTCCTCCTCTAAGAAGACGTCCTACCGACGCCGCCCTGGGCCGACCCCCTTTACTTTGCCTTCATTTACTTTGCTTTGCGTTTTGCTTTACTTGTGTTCTTCTGGCACCCTTTCAATCTGATTTTGTACTTTGGGTTGGTTCTTTGGTTGAACGGCATTGCCCCTTATTCCTTGTCTGTGGTTTTGGGAGCCCGGCCAACCACTGTGTGGTGTGACCGGGGGAATCTTGGTTGGTAACCCTTTCTTCCTTGGCTTGTTCGGGCCATAATTTTCCTTCTGCAAACTTAGGTCGCCTTCTGCACGATGTTGAACGAAGCGTCGGCGAAGCGAAGGAGAAAGCAAATGACTGACAAGAAGGAGCTCACCCAGGCCGAGCTCAGGATTCGCCCTATCAGGCTACCCTTAATTGGTGGTGTGGGGATTTGAACCAGCCTTGCAGGAGACCCATTTGGGGGAGGTTCCGGAACACCAACCCAAGCAACCGCTTAAGGTTAAGCTGGTTCCCCTAAACAGTTTGGCGGCGGTCAACAGAGTGTAAGGACGACCCCGGAAATTTACACACCAACCACTAAATAAGGGTCGCGCCCTTATAACCTGCCAGGTTTATGCTCATCCGGGGTCACAGTCTTCACAATGCCGCACACATCAACAAGCGCACGCACCAAACACCCAAGTCCGAAACACTACACACATCAAACAACCAAGTCCACAAAACACATGCAACACAACACACACACGTCAACCAAACGAATCCAACATACCACAGACACAGACACACACATCAATCAACCATGCCCGAAAACAAAGCGCGCGTCAAACAAACGTGCCCACCACCAACCACCAAATCCACTGCAACGCGCACACACACACACACGCACAAACACAACCGCATCAAACAACCAAGTCCAAAGCAACCGCACATCCAACAAACAAGATGAACACAACACAGACGCCAAACATGCGTGCTCACAGGCACATATCAAGCTCAGCCCAACAGAATGCAAATATCACGCGAGACCAAAACAACACGCGCGCACACAAACATCAGACAATTTGGGGAACCATTGAAAGCCATTACCATTGAAGGGTCGTTCTGAATGGGGGAAATGGCAGTGGTTTCCTCTAGTTTCCCTTCAAAAGACCCATGTTCAATACGAGCAATGCTGACTCAATGCTGACCCCGGATTAACTGATTCATACGGGTGCAATGCAATGCAATGCAATGCAATGCATGCATGCATGTATGTATGTATGTATGTATGTATGTATGTATGTATGTATGTATGTAAGTAAGTAATGTAATGTATGTAATGCATGTAATGTGTGCAATGTATGTATGCATGCATGCATGTATGTATGTATGTATGTAATGTAATGTAATGTAATGTAATGTAATGTAATGTAATGTAATGTAATGTAATGTAATGTAATGTAATGTAATGTAATGTAATGTAATGTAATCTATGTATGTATGTAATGTAATGTAATGCAATGCAATGTAATGTAATGTAATGTATGCATGCATGTATGTATGTATGTATCCTTGCACTTCCCCTTTGCTCCCCAGTATTTCCCGCAAAAAAACACTGTTTTTCCAGCGTTTTCTCAAAGAGGACGTCCAAAACACAGAGTTTTGTCAGATTTTCGGCAAAAGGATGCAGGAAGCCCAAGCCAGCAGAAAAGCCGGCAGGGGGAATCGAGCCTGGGACCCCTGTTTTGCGACAGCGGCTCCCCGAAGACTACGTCTGCCGCGCGGTACGTGGGGGACCCCCCCCCGTACGTTGGACACTGCACGGGCCCCAACCCTCCCCCCCCAAAAAAACCTACGTATTTGAAGTCGGGTGGGGGGGGGGGGTGGGGGGGGGGGCTATCCTCTATCCTCTAGTAAGTATCCGACACGCCGAACAATGTCGGCGGATACTAATAATAATGATGATGATAATGATAGTGATAATGATAATAATCATAATAATAATGATAAGGATAATAATATATTGTAGTGACACGCCGAACAATGTCGGCGGATACTAATAATAATGATGATGATAATGATAGTGATAATGATAATAATCATAATAATAATGATAAGGATAATAATATATTGTAGTGATCAAGGGTACGGGCTTAAAGCCATGAATCCGGCAATCAACATGAGATTTGGGTTGTCCCTGTACTTCCAAGGTTGTCCTCCCGGATCTACCAGTTTGATGGGGGCGACCCGGCGCGCGAGCTCTTCGTTTTTGGGGGCAACAGCTGCCACTTGGAGTGAGATCGGTCGGGAGAGGAGGAGCGGGTGTTTGAGCGTCATGTTCTGAAGGGTTCAGCAAATGCTGACACTTTTCTCCTTGCGCCCTCGCATGGCCATGCGAGGGCAAGGAGTCAAGGATTCGAAGTTGTACTTCCCTCAGTCCGATTAAATACAAAGCCAGAGCACGATGTGTGTGGAACTTTTCTTAGATGCCATGTCAGTTCGACTAACATAGTGAGAGGGGCTTGAATCAGTGCAGTTCAGGGCCTGAAGAGCAGCCATGAAGATTGGTAGATTGGTCAATTGCCGTGGCGTTTCACTATCTCAGCTCGTGTTATGTGCCCGGTTTGAGTTTCAATCAGGCAAGTATGGGGCGTGGGAAATGGATCCCCTGGAGCCTATGCCATGTTGGCAGGGACAGCAAGCAGCTGCTTGCATCCTGCATGTGTTTAAAGAACATAAAACAATTGGGGATCAACTGAAAGTACCCTTTGCCTTGCAAGGCGTGCAGATAAGGAAGCATGCGACCACTGTTGTCAGTTGTTTGCTCTGTCTCGCCTAGTGCTAAAGACAGACACTGGCTTCATATTCAACCCACAGTTGTCCCCAAGAGAACTTTGCTTTGAGGGGCGTGTTCAGCCTGTTGTGCTGAGCCCAGTACTTCGACTTGTGATTTGAGACAATGCCAACCGACACTCCTTGGTGTAGTCCGGCAATTCTTTCGTAAGTTGAGTTGTTGGAAGCTGAGCCTGTGGCCACTGGATGGCCGTTGAACCGACTTGGTGATTTTCCCTTGTCGGATCCCACCAGCTTTGAATATGTTCGACGTGGCCTGTGTGCAACTTGGTCAGGTCCAACGTAACCAGCCCCCCTCCTGCCTCTGCCTCCCTGCCACTCGTGTCCCAAGTCCCCTACTCATTGGACCCACGGGGTCCGATTGCCAGCGCAAATCATGCATCCGAAAGGAACCCATTGGCATTCGACGGGAGGCAGATCCTTTCTTTCTTTGGGTTCTCCACAATCTGTGGATGGACAAAATCCATATCGCCCCACCCAAGACACCATGCTTGAAACCATAACGTTTGTTGGTATTTACAGGGGATCATATCATAGGGTTTGTGAACGGTGGTGCGAAATGGATTTCGTCCATCAGAATCTGTTCACACCAAGGGCCTCCATTTTTCGACCACAGCGGCACAGCTGAGGGGCACCTTCGGGGACGGCGCATCCATGGAGCGGCTCTTGTCGCTCACGCAGCAGCAGGCCTTCGTGCTGCCGCCCGGGGTGGACGAGCCTTGGCCATTTGGGATGTGTTTTCATGAACTAGGGATCAGCTTGATCTATTGTATGTAAGTACATACATGTGGCTGTGGGTCAAAACCAATGGTACCATTTTGGGGTAGGTGCACTGGGGATACGGGATCGTGACCCATGGCCATGTAGATGTAGATATATTTAATATGGATATGCACAGAAGCATCTGCGCGGGTTGGAATGCCCGCCTGCGGGCGGCCCAAACCCGAGGAAACCATATGGTTGTTGCAGGATTTGTGAACGAGCCACAAGTACACGAGCACCTGCTATTTTTGTGTGGGCACACACACATGACATGAAACGCCGAATTCTGACAAGATAGCTACCGGAAGACGTCAAATGTCAAACCAAGCTGCAAGTCCCTGCCATTCAACTACAAAGAGGTCTTGTTCCACCACTACGACTCCACAAGGTCATTGTCAGCTGCCAAGACATGTGTGCAGTGGCTTTGCCAATGCGTTACGACATCCTGCCCCAGCGAGAAGCGCTTGGACCACGAGCGAACCCGTCTGAAGCAATCACTGTCGTGGGTTCCAATTTCTGCTGGCTATGCCAGTAGCATGCACTTCAATCACACAAGGTGTTCCCATTCTGAAAGCCACTTGTTCTCATGGGCAAGAGTGTTGAAACAAGTACATGCATTCATTTGGTGTTACATACACATTTTTTGTGTATGTAGTTGTATAACGTTTGTTCAGCTCTCAGCTTGGAATGGATGGTGTTGTTCTGCTGGAACTTCTCAGGCCGAGCAAATTAGAGCTGCCATATTTCAGGGCAGGACAATGTCCAACATGTTATGAGGATGCATCCCTTGTTTCGGCGTGAAATGTATAGTCTTAGCTGCGCATGGTTGTCGAAGAGTCGGGTGTGATGATTGTTACGAGCGTGTTTGTGTCTGACAAGGCACGTTCATGGCCAGATCCATGGATCAAACATTTTCACACTGTTGCTTACCCAGCTTTCAACAAAGGGAATGTCTTTTGTTGCACCCAGGTGTCCTCAGGCAACACGAGACTGCCTGTGTTGAAAGCTTGTCAAGCACAGAGTAGAAACTATTGATATAGCTGAACCTTCGATTTGCGCGACTGAGGCATCAAAGCCCTTCCCAGTACAGTGCTTCGGCCGCTATTTGCAGGCGCCAAGAACAGCGAGTCTGGCAAGTCGTTGGTGGGAAAGCATGGGCCATGCCCGCGTTTCGAAGGCCATGCCTAAGAGTTGCCGCCTTGAGGGCCCTCGGCTTCTCTTGTTACTGTTCTAGTATTCTCAGCAACCACCTTCGCGCGCCACGTCAAAATTAATTATTGGTGTTTCGTTTTGGAAGTAATACCCATTCACAATTGCTCTGCAGCTTTCATTCAAGATCGTTCAAGCATGTTCCTCGCTCACGTTCGGCAAAGCCACGCCTGGCTAGGAAACGTGATGGTCTTACATTCTGTGAGTCAGCCAATCAACAAGCTTGCCAAGACGACACATTTCGCCGGTGCTTTTGCATCATGCTCATGTCCAGAGTATATGAAAGCAACAGTTGCCCATCCATCAACAAACATCGAACTACAATGCATGAGGGTTCATAAATCCTATGCAAGGCACAAGAAACATCAAACATGTAATCTATACGGGCAAAAAATGGAAAGCGGATCGTCGTGCAGTTGTTGATTTATCGAATCAAGCTTAAAAGGACAAAATGCAATTACAACTTGAACATTTACATTGCTTTGGGGAGCCGTCGGACCACCCCATAGTACGACGAAAGCTGATTGGTTTAGTATTGTCCACGGCTAGTTTAGTATTGGGAAAGTTTGGGTCTGAAAAATATATAATTAGGAAATTTGAAAGTTTACCGCCTCCGGCTCAGGCCGCCGACATTACGGCCTGCTTTCTTATATGCGTCCCTTTGGAATTGTCCCATTGGAAGTTTTGTTAGGACATTTCCTTTTGCAACTTTCCCATTGCAAGTTGCCCTTTGATGTTTTTCCTTTGGACTTTTCCATTGGAATTATCCCATTGGAATTATCCCATTGGAATTCTCCCATTCGAAGTCTCCCTTAGGACATTTCCTTCTGCAATTTTCTCATTGGAACTTTCCCTTTGATGTTTTCCCTTTGGACTTTTCCCATTGGAATTCTGAAGTCTCCAATTTGACGTTTTCCTGTGGAATTGTCCTTTTGGTATTTTCCCATTGAAATTGTCCATCTGGAAGTTTCCCAGTAGAGTTTTCCCATTGGAAATTTCACACTGAAATGGTCCAACTGGATTTTTTGGAATCTTCCCATGAGAAGTGTCCCTTTGGATTTGTCCCCTTTAGATTTTGCTTTGGGAATTCTCCCATTGCAATTGTCTCTTGGAATTGTCCGATTTCTCCCATGGGAATTCTGCCAACAGACTGTTCCCTTTCACATTCTCCCATTGAGAGGGTTCACGGAACCTTCATGGACGTTTCATGGAAAGTGTCTGGAAAGTTCATGGAAAGTTCATGGATGGTTTCTGAAAAGCTCACGGCAACTTCCTGGCAAGTTCCTGTGGAAAGATCATGGCAAGTTCATGGAAAGTTCAGAAAGTTCCTGGAAACTTCCTGGAAAGTGCATGGAAAGTTCAAGGAAAAGTCATGGACGGTTCATGGAAGAGCCATGGACCCTTCATGGAAAGTTCATAGACAATTCATGGAAAGTTCCTTGAAAGTTCCTGGAATGTTCTTGAACAGTTAATGGACACCTCCTGAAAAGTTCCCGGGCAGTTCATGGAAGTTCCTGGAAAGTTCATGGAAACTTCCTGGAAAAGTTCAAGTTAATGGAACCTTTCTGGAAAGTACTGGAACATTAGGCCACTAAGGTTTTAAGATTGTAAGCCATTCAGATTTTCAGAGTTTCATCCATTAATATGTTCATACCATGTAGATCTCAAGATTGCCAGCCATTACAATTTGTAGACTTTAGGCCATTGAGATGTTATCACGTTAGGCCACCAAGGTTTTCAGATTGTAAGCCACTCAGATTTTCAGAGTTTCATTAAGATTTTAAAGTTTTCAGTTGTCGATTTTACGCCAGCAAGAGTTTAAGCCATTAAGCCACTAAGGTTTCAAGGTTTTACTGTATGAATATCGTAAGGTTTGAAGCCGTGAATATGTCAACATCGTAAGCCATGACTAGTTTCAGACTTTAAGCCATTCAGATGTTAACACGTTAGTCCACTAAGGTGTTCAGACTGCGCTCAGATTTACAGAGTTTAAGACATTAAATGCGGACCCTTCATGTGACCCTTTGCACCTGTTTTACACGATGTCATCCAGATAATGCCAGTGATCCGGGTGATGCTGGCGATGTTGCGCAGAAGCTGCTAAGAATGCAAAAGCAGAACCCGAGGGGTCGAACACGCTAACGCTTTACGCACCCCCCCCCCCCCATATGAAAGGATTTAATCTGGGAAGGGGTAGCAGGTCAAGAAGTAAGAAGCCTTTCTCATGTACACGCCGTTTGTTGTCGGGTTCAATCTCTGACAATCTCACTTGAAGCACTGCCAGTCGCGAACGAACCATGTTTGGCATTTGGTTACTGAGCAATACCCTGTGTATACTCTGCATACCCTCAGGAATTGTCTTGCTAGTTCTCAACAGGGATCCCGTGACATCCCTTCTTGTATCAAGTTCATTCCCAAACCCGCGGGTGATTCCTTACTGGAAACTGCAAGATGTGAGGGCTCGCTCAAGACGAGGGTTTGGGTTTAAGTTGGGGACCAAGGAACTATCGGGTCTCCACGTGTGCAGACGGAAATGTTCAGGATACCTTGGTAATCCTCGTAGAGCTGTAGGGGTTAGGATAGGCGAGAAAAGCGTCTTAGTGATGCGGGCCGCCTGAAAGTTGCCTTCAGCTGGTGGATGGACAGATATTGCATTAGGCAATCAGTAAGTGGTTTATCATGGTATTGATGGGGTTTCACGCATCTCAACTGCCGTCCACCGTTTCACTGGCCGCTGTGGGAGGTTCAGCTGCCCGCCTTTGCTCAGCAGGGGCTGGTCGTTCAGCTCTTCCTCAACCGCGGAGAGCTGA